GAAAGGTTGCAAATGGGGATATTTGGTTTTTCAGAGAAAGAGACTATAGCCAAGAGTGTTGCCTTGGCAACAGCATTGTAGGTGTCATTCAGGTGTCATTCATCGTAGGTGTGATGTACATTGCTGGTGCCAAGTCTGATGAACACTGCTTGAATATTTCTAGAGTTATTCTCAATTCAGTGTTGTGCTGTTTTAGAGGAACCACCTATGATGTCATCACTTTCCTCATTTGCATAATACAAAAATGTGAATATCTCTAAAACGAAAACAGATATTCCAAAAAAGAAAATGCCATCCTTTTTTACTTTGAAAAGACTTTCAAATAAGCAGGAATTATTTTTACTTCATAGGCACTTTAAAAGCGTCATTTGTTTCCAGAGTTTCAATCGATTGACTGAACAGAAGTGGTTTGTTGTCACATATGGTCGACAAACAAATTTTATAACCAACAGCAGTTAATTTTTGGTTTTTGACTGGATAAACATTTGCGATTAAAACTTCTATAAAGCTCTTCCTCTTCCATATTTTGAAAGACTTCTGTTTTGTCCTAGCGTTCTTCAAAAGCATTCCATCGATTGACTGAACTCCCTCACAGATTTTGACAGAATTCGATAAAATAAAGCGTCAGTTCTTTGACTTTTGAACGTCTGCTAACACATGTAAAACTTATAGGAAGTCAGTTTATACTTTAAAAGCATCTCTTTTTTTCCGTTTCAGATTGCTCAACTGACTTTAACTTTCTTGCTACATGTAAGCACATTCAACAATTAAGTGAATTTGGAATCAACAGACTAACATGTAGTACGAATACTTCAAAGTAGTTTACAGGGGTTTTTTGAAGGGAAGAGATTGGATTGCATTGGTCATGACTTTTATTGAATGTGGTGGCTCCTGAAGGTGCCGTTGTTGTTCTCAAAAAGAATCGTTTTGTTTTCAGTACCCTGAGGCCTTGGTGCTGGATCACCATCCGGACAACCTTCTTTAAGTGATTGATGTACATCGTACACTTTTCAGCCGTCACCCTCTCCTTCCAGAACCTAGTAATTCCTTCGAATAGCTGCTCTTTAGTTGTGGGCTTTACTATTGTTCGCAGAAAATGTTTTAGCTCATGCCATAGCATCTCT